CTCGATTATAACTCAACAACATTGTCAGGTAATTCGAAATAATTACCTGGAAACACTTTCCAACACTATACAGGTAATTGAAGACTGAATTTGGAGTTACATTGAAGGTAGCCCGTCAAAATAACAAAAGAATTCGAAAGATAGCAGAAAAATTCCAAAAAATCCGCACAGCAAAGTGGAACCAGATTTTGGCGCCTTTTGAGATTGCCCTTTGAAGACTCTACAAACTATTTAATAGCTTCCACCAATTGAAATGTTTGGTCTCAATGGAACATATATTAATGGACTTAACATGAAAGAGAGTAAGAGAGTCGAAAAATAACATCCCAATTAGGTCATGGTAGGCTTTCAAGTTTCAAGTAAAGAATTAATATCCTTTTGCTAATTTAAATATATTTATTTCATATTTGTGAAAGCCAAGGACAGTAACGCAATAACAAATAAATCGTACTAAAAGAGTACCATTTCACCTAGCTTTTTTATTAAAATAAAAGGTTGAGTTATTTATAAAGTAGTGCACTGGGTACTGTCTTTTGAAAAAACCGATAAAAAAAAATAACTATAAATGAATTTATTTTTTTTCTAGGATGCAAAAAGTGCAGAAGCTTCAATCATTCCGACCACGCTCGTAATAAGTGGGGATGATTCATTTAACTATTGTATGGTCTACCACATTTTTTTTTTATAACCATTTTTCTAAGAAAATGATTTGAATTTCTTTTAATTTTTTAAAATTGTAATCACGGTGGATTTAGGAAATAATTATGGACCTAAGCAGTTTTCTTTAGAGCATTTACAATGCTTTGGGTTTAATCACTAAAATTACATGTCACTAAAGAAATAGACTCAGTCTAAAAAAATTTATTCTCCAATGCAAATAAAAATAGACTGGGTTCTGCTGATGTGACAGTCAGAAAAAAGACCCGATCTGCCTTTAAGTCTATTTTAGACCCAAGTAGAGACCGAATCTCTTTGCATTGGAGCGAATTTTGTTAATTTTATATAATTTTATCCATGACATCTAAGACTTAAATTTATTTACGTGTCACATAGACAAGATTAGACCCAATGCATTGTAGATGCTCTTAATATCACATATATTAATAGAAAAGATAATGTTGCATTTCTAAATTGTATGGAAAAATATGTGCCTTCCAAATTTCATCAATTATGCTCAACGTTTTGTCAAGTCACAAAACTCATTAATAATTAACTCAACACCAATAGATCTTGTAGATCTTGTAAGTTTTCTTTCAGCGAAGATAGTCAAAGAACTTAGTAAAAATTCATCTTTCATTTTACTTTGTAGTTTAGCTTTAGCAATAGTTATAGCTAAGAATACATTATTCGTGGTTCTTGTAAAAATGAAAAAGAGCAAAAATCAACTTTATTAGTTTGTCAATCAACGTGTAAACAACTAGTTTCTATTTTTTTGCCTTCCATTTGACAAATTACAAATTTTGTAATTCTAAATGCTTTGAGAACGTCAATCTCATAAGCAATTGAACTCGTAATAAATATCTTCCATAACTTATGAAGTCACTAGGGCATAATTCATCGACAATGAGACAAGCATAATTTATGTTAGAAATAACAATTGTGAATTGCGAGGGACTAATATAAAGCTAAGAATAAGTAGCTCCCGACATGCTCAACAAACCTATTGCTTAGCTTTTGTAATTGACAATCTTTTGTAACTATAAAATTATTAATACGATAATGATCTTCGTTTAGAAATAGATTCTGCTTATTCCAAGATAATCCTCTTTTTTCCACATAAGTAACATCAGGAATCTCTCTCTTACATATAAGAAAAAGTGTAAGGGATTGTGGCGCTGGCACGTGGCGATTTATTGGGAGAAAAATGCTCCTGCAATTAGCTACTTATTACACTGTTGCCCCTCAATTATTTCCCTTTTTCTTCTCGGGTACGTCTCCCACCAAATTCCCACAATTTCTGCATTCACCCATACAATGCAGTGTGAATGATGTCAAAAATCCTCCAGCCTCTCCAAAAATCCTCTCCCTCAGATCTTCCGAAAATAAAAAAAGAAAACAAATTTTTGAAAGCCAAAAGAACGCGACAACAACAAGGTTACGGAACACGGTATGCCGGAGACAGTGCAAGAAGTAGCTGCGAAGGTGAAAATGAGGCGAGATCTGCGAGGCGAGCCAGAGAGAGAGAGAGAGAGAGAGAGAGAGAGAGAGAGAGAGAGAGAGAGAGAGAGAGAGAGAGAGAGA